TTTTTCTATGTATTTTTAGTTGTCCAGGTAATTTCTTTCTATTTTTAGTAGAGATGTTGGTCTCTTGCTCAGGCTGGTCTCAAACTCCTGACCTCAAGTGATCCTCCCGCCTCGGCCTCCCAGAGTGCTAGGATTAGAGGTGTGAGCCACCACACCCGGCCAGAGTAGGTAGGTCTCCTTTAAGTGTTTCTTGTATGTCTGGTCTAGTGGTGATGAATCGTCTCAGTTTTTGCTTCTCTTGGAAAGACTTTATTTCTGAACTTGACTCTTGTTTATATATCAATTAGCCTAGGGTAAAATTGGTTTTATTATATGTCGTTTTGCTTAAATTGCAGTTTCTAAGAATCTATTGACCTTAAGTGAGGAGTTACTGTATATCAAGAGACCTGTGTTTGAGTTCAGAAATTCTTCATCTAGTGTATTGGTGAAACTCTTGACTGTGTTTTTCATTTAATTTGTTGAATTCTTCAGCTCCAAGATTTCTGTTTAGTTGTTTTTTATGATATCCGTGGAATTTCTCATTGAGAACCTGAATTATTTTCCTTTGTGAATTTTTATTTGTATTCTTTTGTGTTTTACTGAGTTTTCCTTAAGATTAATATTTTGAATTGCTTTTCATGCATTTTATAGATTTGTTTTTTTCAGGGTATGTTACTGGAGAATTATTATGTACCTTTGGAGGTGTCAGGTTTCCTTGCCCTTTCACGTTTCTTGTGTCTGTTGGTTGATATCTGCAAATCTGGTGGAATAGTCACCTCTTCCAATTTTATGGAGTAGCTTTCACAGGGAAAAACTTTTTCCTGTAGATGTGATTTGTAGGGTCAGTTTTTTTTTGAGTTAGTTTCTATTGACTGCTTTTAAGAATTTAAAAAAATTCTTTTTTGTTTAAGAGATGGGGGTCTCACTGTGTTACCCAGGCTGGAGCACAGTGGCAAGGTCATAATGCCTCAAACTCCCTTCTATCTATTTTTATGCCCCATAGGGATTTCTATGGGTCATAGGGTAGTCATTTAGCCAGTGATTGGTTGGAGGTTGTTTAAACCTTTGAACTAGTAAAGCTTCTACTCTTTGGCATTTGATATATACATATACTGGATAATGCTTTCAAAGTGAGGGAATTACAAGTTTGATATATATATGTGTGTGTGTGTGTATATATATATATATGTATTTAACTTTCTGTGTTCACACGGCCTCATGGTTAACCTGGAGTGAGTAGCTTGCTAGGGCCCTCTCCATTATCTTCTGAATAAGCACAGCCTTGCACATTCACACAACTTTCCAGACTACCAGGGCTATTACGTGAGATTCTAGGAAGGCCCTGTTCAGCTATCTCATTCTCCAGATCTCTCTCTCTCTCTCTCTCTCTTTCTAAAGACAGCCACAGAAGCTGTGACAGATATCTCTTTTTGGACTGCTCTTCCGTTTGGTTGCTTGCCCTACATAGATAGCATTGTGACCTCACGTTAGCCTTCCCTTATTGCTTCTGAGGTCTCTGTTGTTTTCGACAACTTTGTCATGTTTTGTCATTGCTTTTTGAGGAGAGGTTGCCAAGTTCCTCACTTAGCATTCTTGAGTCCTGTCATTCATTCATATATATATGTGGTAAAAAACTGCGTAATATAACATTTAACATCTTAACTACTTCAAGTATACATTAGTGTTAACTATATGCACATTGCTGTGCAACATATCTCTAGACCTTTTTTTTTTATCTTGCAAAACTGAAACTTTCTGTCTATTGAACAACTCTTTTTTTCCCTCTCCCCGGAGCCCTTGACAACTACTAATCTACTTTCTGTTTCTAAGAGTTTGAGAACTCTAGATATCTTGTATAAATGGAATCATACAGTGTTTTTCTTTTTGTGACTGGCTTATTTTACTTAGCATAATGTCCTCCAGTTTCATCCATGTTGTAATATGTGACAGGAGTTCCTTCTTTATTATGGCCAAATAATATTCCATTGTTTGTATATACCACATTGTGTTTATCCATTCATCTATTGATGGGCACTTGGTATGCTTCCACATTGTAGCTATTTTGAATAATGCTGCTACCAATGTGGGTGTGTGAGACTATCTCCTCAAGATCCTGTTTTTAATTCTTTTGAATATATACCCAGAAGTGGGATTGCTGGATCATCATCGTTCTGTTTTTAATTTTTTGAGGAACCTCCGTACTGTTTTCCATAGCAGCTGCAACTTTTTACATTCCAACTAATAGTATGTAAGGATTCCAGTTTCCCCATATCCTTGTCAACACTTACGGTTACTTTTTTCATCGTAGCCATCTGTAGGGGTGAAAGGTGATATCTCATTGTGGTTTTGATTTGTGGTTCCCTGATGATTAGTGATATTGAGCATCTTGTCATATACTTGTTGGCTGTTTGTATATATTTTCTTTCGAGAAATGTCTATTCAATTCCTTTGTCCGTTATTTAATAGGATTATTTGTTTTTGTTGTTGAGTTATAGGAATTCTTTATATATTCTAGGTATTAATACCTTAACTTACCAGATATATGGTTTGCAAATATTTTCTTCCATTTCATAGGTTGCTTTTTCACTCTGTTTATTGTTACCTTTACTGTGCAGAAGTTGTGTAGTCCCATTTGTCTATTTTTGCTTTTGCTGCCTGTTATGTTCATTTTTAAAGTATCCCTTTTCTCTGTTTTAGGATACTTTGTAATACCTTACCTAGAATTACATTTTTGAGATCTATTCAACCCATTTCTGAAATTCTTTGCTACCGATATCTCTTGCACAATCATAGATTTTCTGATTTTAGCAATGTATTTTGCACAATAAATTTCTGGAAAGTTATAAGTAAATAAAGTATTTTTAAGTTATAGAATTATATTTCGAGAAGGGAAAAGAATGAAAAGAAAATTACTTGATTTTGGTCACGTCAAGGAAAATCCATTTGTTAATAACAATGAACATTTGTGTTTTGACTTTTATGTGTTATTTGTTTATTACAAGAACTCTGTGATCAGGAAAAAGAAATTATCTTGCTTATAGTTAAATGATTCATAAGTATTTATAAGTGTTTACTTGTACATCCAACATGGACGATATGGCTCAAAATTCCTTGTTCTAATGTAGAAAGCCATCTCTTGTGTTAATGTTAGGTTAATGCTCAGTGGATTAGTAGCATTCTGATGATACTAAGTTCTTGAGTTTGATTCAGATATCTTTTAACTTCTGAGAAAATCTGATTTGTGTCCATATATTGCAACTTTCATAGCCATTTTGCAAATGTATCATTTTTGCACAAGTCATGGGGTGATAGAGGTGAAATTATAATCCACTCATTGTCCAAGTAGATGCATAGGTGGTAGAAGCGTATTCAATGCTGATAATGGAAGCATAGAGACAGTATTATAGTGGTTAAGAGCGAGGGCTCTGGCTTCATATTTCTCAGTTTTGACTCCTGACTCTCCTCGATGCTTTATTTTAGGATTTTACTTGACCCTTCGTGCCTTAGATTCTTCATTTTAAAATGGAGATGATAGTATTTACCTTTTGTGGTTCTCATGATGATTAAATGTTTGTATTTGTATGCAAGTAAGGTGCTTAGAGTAGTGCCTGGTACATATCATAATAAGTGCTTAGTAAATATTGTCTTTGATACAGGCACTTAGCATTATATTATATAATCTTTTGCCAACTGAATAATGCTTGAAGAGATTACTATATCTTCAAAATAATATAATAATGACAGATATTTAAAAATTGTGACAGTCTATTAGTATAGAGTAGCAACAATAGATTTCTAGTAGTCTGAGCTTTAAAAAAATTTTTTGAAGACATAAATTAAGCTCACACTTTTATAATAGCAATAATACTCAGCATCTTTATAATGACTTCTCTAGGAGGAAGATAGTGTTCTATGCACTTTATATAAATTAATTGATTTAATTCTCAAAGGATACTATTATTATCTAAATTTTTGCAGATAATGAAACTGCAGCCCAGATACAGTAAGTAACTTTCCCGGTGTCATTTATCTAGTAAGTGGTAGAAATGGGATTTAAATCTATGTCTGCTGGCTCCAGAGTTATTGGTTTAACCACTTTGCTATACTGCCTATATTTACCTATATTGCTAGTATGTTGCTAAATCAAGTAGGTAGGCTAAAATATAAATGAATAAGCTTAATATTTATATTAACTTTCACAAATAGAGTTACAATAACTATAAAAATGTGATGGAAATACAATTTCTTTTTTTCTTCCTTTGTTGATTTGTAACAAACATTTTATCTAGCAGTGAAACAAATTTAGTGTAAAGTGATTGAGATAAAATTTGTTTTCATTCCTAACCTTTTGTCTAATAATAATGGAAAGCAATCAGATTTGTAACAAACATTTTATCTAGCAGTGAAACAAATTAGTATAAAGTGATTAAGGTAAAATTTGTTTTCATTCTTAACCTTTTGTCTAATAATAATGGAAAGCAGTCAGAAACATTTAAAATTTATGACCAAATAGTATACAGGTACAAATTTTAATTAACTGAATTACAATACATTTTTTTTTAGGTTGATCAGTTTTTATTTTTTCAGGTCATTTTCCTATCTCCAATTAAGCTCCCCTTTCAACTTGCCTTACTGTCCTATTCTGTTAGTTTAAAACATATTTTAAGGACATATTTTTAGATAGCGAAATATATCGTTGCAGTTATCTCAAGTACTAGTATCATCTACTGCTGCGACTACTACCATCACCACCATATATGAGTCTTTAACATATACCGGGTGTTGACTGGTATTTCCATTCAGCAGAGTAGGAAACTGAGGCCTAGAGTGCTTACGTAACTTGTTAAATATAACTTGCACAATAATTTTTTTGTTGTTTGTTATTAACTATGGTTTAACAAGTTATTTGATGCTACTTTTTCATAAACATTGTTGGAAATATTATTTCTCTTTTAAGAAAGAAATTTGCATATTAGAATGAAAAATATTAAGCAGTTTTATTTAATGTTTTGTGTTTTCAGGAACTGAAATTACCATTCACTTTTTTAAGTGGACATATTCATGAATTGAGGATTCATGTACCATGGACAAAACTAGGTTCAGAACCAGTGGTAATTACCATCAATACAATGGAATGCATTTTGAAACTTAAAGATGTATTACAGGTAAGACATTATTGAACCTATTTGTTTATGTTTACTAATTTTTAATAGTTATTAGTATTTGACATTTCTTTAACTCTTGGAATATGTCAACTGTTACATAAACAAATCTTAGCTTTTACATGCCTATTAAAATAACATAACTACTTGTAAAAGGGTGTTCTTAAATTTGGATAAAACATCTAAAGGATGTTTTCATACAAATTTTATATAATTGATCATAGCCCTGCTAGGGATCATGTATATTGCTTATTACCTATATCCAAAAATATAAGCGGGGCCTGATTGTATCCAATTTTTAGGTTAAGATTTTTGAATATTTTCAAAAGACCTGTATGAATTTTTATTTCCATGATATTCCTAAATCTGAAGAAAAATTTTCAGGTTACTTTTGGAAGATGAAAACACATTTAACTTTATACCAAATTTCATTATTGTTTTTTAAGTTTTGGTATCGGAAGCTGATTTTTTTCTCATACTTATTTATTTATTCTCAAACTCAACATTTCTTGCTAGTGTTTTTTGCGAAGGTGTAATATTGGTTTTAAGGAGTTTCTACAAAACTTTTCTAATCTAGGAAGCAAATGGGTTAGGACCGCAGCATATTGTGAAGAATATTTCTACTTTCATCTTACAGAAAAGTAATGTGTCATTCAGTTTTGTTACTTTTTCTTTAGCACACATTTAACATTTAACTTTCAGTTTTAACACATTAATTGCCATGTGAGTTGTATTTAACTCATGCTAGTTTTGACCTTGGGGCCTCGTGAAGCATATGTAACATGTCTCTTCACCTTGGGAGCTGCGAGAACTATTTTTCAAGTTGCATATAACTCATGCACAGAAAACAATAAAAAAAAAGAAATATTTCATTAAATTAGAGAGGCTCATTTTGTTTTTGAAGTTTTTATTCTATTTTCATAGTAAAACACCATGGCCTCAAGGAAAGTTTTTTTTTTAGTGTTGCAGTAAATGTGTTAAGGAAGGTTGTCTAGAATCAAGTGAATTGATAAGTATTATTAAAATGACTATTTTCCTAAAAACATTCAGGCAATTTTAATGTTTTCTAAATATTCAGTCTGTGAAATTAGGGCTTTTCAATGAACTGTTAAAATTATTTCCTATTTTAAGTAGATACTTTGTCATATCAACCTGCTGGGCTCAGATCATTCTTTAAATTTATGAAATCTTTGATTTCAAGCCTGTATTATCCAATTTATGTTAAGTAATGTAGTACCTGGAAGTAAATGGAGCAATATTATATTTCCATGAAAATTTATTTTGTGAACATTCAGTATTTGAGAGAGTAATTTAGAAATCTGTAGATAGTTATATTCCAACACGGTTTCATTTCACTTTTATATTTGGCAATACTTAAATGGTCCTTAGTCATCGTTTGTTCTTGGAATTTAATTTTTAAAAAAAGTCTGGACTTGGTTATACCACCCATGTAGTGCTTCATATTAAAAGAAAAAAAAAAAATCCAGACACTAAGTATTTTTTCAATGAGAAGGTGGAAGTTTCAAGGCCAGATGTCCCATAAGAAAAACATTTTAAAAGAGACAAATTACAACTAATTATAGAGGCTGCAGAAAAAGATTTGTAACACATGACTTAGTGCAACCTAGAACTAATATTTGATACTCAACCATGCAGATGGCTACTGCAGGAATGATCAGATTTCCTGCTTGCATAGTATTTGAGACTTGAATTTTGTGGTGTATACAGCAAAAGGTCAAATGTCATGAATCTCTAAACAAGTATTTTTTACAGATGTTTAAAATTTTGGAGTAGAAAGGATTTTTGAAAATTATAGTTGACATTTGGACAAATTATTTAGCAGTGTACACCCCTGGAGAGTAATACTTGTTGGGTTTATGCTAGTGATTAGGATTAAATTTTGAATAAAAACGTTATAGATGAAGCACATTTTAAAATAGTTCATTTTCCTATTTTAAACTTGATTAGTATATTATGTAATTAAGTTAAATTTGCATATGGTAGTAAAACTAAAATATGAATAAGTTCATATTTAAATTATTTCACCTTATTACATTGTAGAATTAAAATGAAGACTTATTTTCTAAATAAAATTGGGGTTTGGATGGTAGGTTAAGTGAAGGGAACTTTAGAGTTACAGATACCCAAAGATATGAATTTGGAAAAAAAAGGTAATACTAATTAATATATAAGAATGTATTAAAATAAAATTAAAAGAAATGAAGCTTAATTCAGATAAGAGCATTTCAAAAATGCAATTATTGTTAAATGCCTTGATAAGAAGACGTATCTTGTTTATAAAGGTCAATTCTACTAATATTGATTGCCTACTCTGCAGTGCACTGAACAGCGTTAAAATATTTATATAATCTCAGCAAAAGATACTTAGAAAAAGATATTTATAATGCTTGAGTGTGACTCTAGTGATCATGGTTATAATATACTGCCTTAACATGTCTTTATAATTAATTTTCTTTTTTTGAGACAGAATCTCACTCTGTTGCCCAGGCTAGAGTGCTGTGGCGTCAGCCTAGCTCACAGCAACCTCAAACTCCTGGGCTCAAGCGATCCTCCTGCCTCAGCCTCCCAAGTAGCTGGGACTACAGGCATGTGCCACCATGCCCCGCTAATTTCTCTATATATTTTTAGTTGTCCAATTAATTTCTTTCTATTTTTAGTAGAGACGGGATCTCGCTCTTGCTCAGGCTGGTTTCGAACTCCTGAGCTCAAACAATCCGCCCACCTCGGCCTCCCAGAAAGCTAGGATTACAGGCATGAGCCACCGCACCTGGCCAATTAATTTTAATTATAGAGATTTTTAGGATTAGAGGGTGCCCAGTTGTTGTGTTAGGTAAAATAAAGTCCTCCTGGATGTTTATTCTGAATTATTTTTAATATATTGAAACTTTACTCATGAAATATTTGTTAGCCATTTGCTGTTTATTCTGAGAGAGACAAATCTATTTCAGTCATGGTCCCCACCTTTAAATCCTGTGGACTTTCTACTTGTGAGCTTTTTCTGTTTTTGACTTCAGATACACAATTTGATTCATGACACATTATGGCCACTCTAGTGTAATCTAATAAATACTTGTGGACCCAGCATATAGCTCAAGAGTTAAAACATTACGAATAACTTAGATTTTACTATGTACTCCTCTCCTTTTTCGTATTCTTGCTTGTTTGGCCTCTGTGAGTCCCTCATTTGCAAAATAGAGCAAGACTTGCTGCATGTTTTTTTTTTTTTTTTTTCCTTCCTTCTATGATTGAAGTGCTTTCCTGGTCATTGAATTAAGTCCTATAAAAATATATCTTCAACTTAAAGAGAGGTGTAAATTTGTTTTTAAAGTACTTATAATATTTACTCTGGTTTTTGAACCACATAGAAAGTAAACATTTAAAATCTTTTAATCTCATAAGTTCTAACATTTGTAAGGCTGTTTGTAGAAGTAATACTTATTTTTCATTAAAAAGAAGTTAAAAAATCTTCTGAACCTGAACTAAAACTTTAGAATACCATTAAATACTTGAGTTAAAGAAGCTGGGCATAGTGGGGCATACCTGTAGTACCAGCGACTTGGGAGACTGAGGCAGGAAGGATCCCTTGAGCCCAGGAGACAGGGTGGGTAACATAGTGAGAATCTATTTCTTAAAAAAACAAAAAAGAAAAGTAAGGTGGCTCACACCTGTGTAGTCCTAGCACTTTGGAAAACTGAGGTGGGAGGATTACTTGAGACCAGGAGTTCAAGACCAGCCTGAGCAACATAGCGAGATCCCATCTCTACAAAAAATAAAAAAAATAAGCTGGGTGTGGTGGCATGTACCTGTAGTCCCAGCTACTTGGGAGGCTGAGGCAGGAGGATTGTTTGAGCCCAGCCCAGAAGTTTGATGCTGTGGTGATCTATGATGACACTTTGAGACTTTGTCTCAAAAAAAACCAAAAGAAAACCAAAACCAAAACAAAAAAACCCACTTGAGTTAAAGAACTAAGCTTTTGTTAATGTATGTACTTTTAGGCCTTGGTTAGTGCTTGGAGTTACAGGACAATTTTGCCTGTCTTCTTTCCATGCATCTTTAGGTGCTTTGAAAATCCTTTATTGGCTTAGGTAGTCTCAAAAAGAAGAGAGAAGCATCAGTCTGTCCTTGAAGCCTGAGTACTACTATGCTAGAGGAAGTATTGGTAGGGCTATTTACAATATTTCCATGACCTCTTTTTTTTTTTTTCCTTAAGACACTTGAAGCTCCTTCAAGGAGGATGGATTAATCCGATTAACTATCTGCCTTTTCAGAAATTCAGATGGGGCTTTGAATTGATGATTTAGGCTCTGTAATTTATTGTACTTTATTTATTATCTTATTTCACTTTGTATTTTAGAGATGGGGTCTTGCTCTGTTGCCCAGGCTGTGGTGCAGTGCCACAGTCATAGCTCACTGCAGCCTTGAACTCCTGGGCTCGTTGGTCCTCCAGCCTCAGCCTTCCAAGTAGCTGAGACTGCAGGAATGAACCACCATACCTGGCTAATTTTTAAATTTTTTTTAGCAACAAGGGTCTTGCTACGTTGCCCAACTGGTGTTGAACTCCTGGCCTCAAGCGATCCTCCCACCTCAGCCTCTTGAATAGCTGGGATTACAGATATGAGCCACCACACCTGGCTATTGTACTTTTATTGGTTCTGTCATTTCCACTGCTGTAGGTTAATAGTGATGGCAATGATAATAGCAGAAAACATAATCCAGATTTTGTCTATAGCTTCCTTACATTGAAACTGAGAAATAAAAGTGTCCTATAAATAAATTATGGCTAATGTCTATATTCCTGCTGAGGAATTCCCTGTATGTTTGAAGGGAATGAGTAGTCTGGTACTTTTACCTGTGTAAGAGCTCAAAAATCTACATTATTGTTAATAAGCTTTATAATAATTTCATATCATTATGATCTAGTTGGAAGAATGTTTTAGGTAGAGTGTGTGGCTAAGTAATTTCCATCCATTGGCCGTATCTGC